CGAGTTTAAACAATGGAGAAGGGAGCGGCTTTCCCTCCAAACGCATTTTAAAAGGACCCTGAAAAAAAAAAAAAAACAGAGAGAAATTCAAGATGCAAAAACAACCTTTTCTCTGACACTACTGACAGCATCAGTGCCAAGAGGGACTTTCCATCGATTTGTGCAGAAAGAAGAATTTAACCAGTGCTGTGAAAAGCGTAAGCAACCCTTTGGAGGAAGGTTTTGTGCCAATACTCACGTTCTGAGGCAGGAGAGGTCTCAGACTCCTCCTCATCCCACTGCGCCTGGAAGTCACTGGGTCGCAGCCGAACCCTCTGGGTGAGGGGCTGCTGAGTGGGCAGCACAGACATGGACTGGGACAGGGATGTCTTCTGCAGGCCAGGCTTGGAGAACAGCGCTTTGAACTTGGATTTCTTCTTCTCCTTCTCGACTGCCTCATCCTCGCTGTCGGCAGGGGAGTGGGAGGTGCTGGGGACGATCGCCGAAGCCGTGTCCGAGAGGCCGCTGCTCCTCTTGCCCTTGAGCTTGTCTTTGAGCTTCCCAAAGGGAGAGCGGGGCTTGTCCTTCATGGACAGATCAAACATGCTGGCTGTCATGTTACTCCTCATGAACTGGATATCCACCTCGATCTCCCCTCTCTCCTTTTCCTTCTTCCCTGGTTTGGAGCGAAGCTTGTACCACCTGCAGCAACCAGGAGATTTCTTTAACCACCGGTAATTGAGAACACAGAGGGTGCTTATGGCTGAAAAATCAAATCAGCCCACAGTGTAGGAAAAGAAAGCCTTTAATCTTATGGTGACATCACAGTCAGGGCCCCAGGTGCCAAGGAAAACATTTCTTATCGTAAACAGAAAGTTATTAGTAAGATTTGGTTTAAAACCCAGATCAGGAAGGGTTAAAAAGAGGGAGAAAAAACAGAAACACAACACCACATTCCTGTATTACAGCTCAGCCACCCTCCTCTGCCCTTTCATCTCTCCTCCTGACACTGGCAGGGGCAACGGCTTTGAAGTGGAGCGGGAGCAGCAGCCCCAGAGCTGCACGCGTCCCACGCCCTCATACCTTTCATTCCAGCTTCTTAATTCCTCTTAAGCCAAGGAACCCCTAATCAACACCAGAGAGCCAACCCCAGCCTTACAGACCCTGGGGGATTTCCACTCACCTCTCCAGGCTCGTGACTGGCACGCACCAGGAAGGGCATTGCTCAGACAGAGCCTTCTCCCTCCCCAAACGCAGCTCCCGAACATCGAGCTCTGTGTGGGGAGTGCCCAGGGCACCCCAAACCACCATCCCACCTCCCACACGCTCTCAACCACCCCTCTGTGACACTCAAACCACATCTGAGCCAGCAAAGAGAATTATCAGCACTGCACACCAGTACGGTTTTGTTTGTTGATGGAACCACGGAATCCCCGACCCCACAGAACCCATAGGAAAGGCTGCCTGGAAACTGCTTTGTTTCTTCCTCCTCACCAGCTGGAATGGGAAAATAAAGGAAGCAAACAGAGCATGCAAATGTGCCCTGCCATCAAATTTGCACTTCAACCTCCAAAGGTATACTGGAAGGAACAAAAGAGAACAAAGGAAAAAGGAAAAAGGTGATTTGCTCCAGTGAAAATTCAAAACTAATGGGGATAACCGAAGGAGATGGATTCAGGAATCTGCTACAGACACTTCAGAGGGAAATGCAGAAGAAATTCTTCCTTCTGAGGGTGGTGAGGCCCTGATCCTGGAGAAGCTGTGTCTGTTCTGTCCCTTGAAGTGCTCAAGGCCAGGCTTGAACCAATGGTCACGTGGAATTTGTCCCTGCCCAGGGCAGGAGGTGGAACAAGATGGGCTTTAAGGTCCATTCTGGGATTCTAAATGAACACTTTACCCAGTCCCTGAGACTGCAGCAGCCCATGAAATCACAACCCCTTTGCCTTTAACATGAGCCAGCACTGGGCACTTTTGTTCCAAACCTGTGATTTCTAGGAGCATCCTGTGCTCGCAGGGCTTCGGTGCCACAAACGATCCCGTGTGTCCCGGGAGCCACAGGCAAACACCGTGTTCAGCAAAGGCAGCTCAGCCTGGCTGAAAGCAGCATCCCAAACCACAAAAAATCTCATTAATGGCATTTGTAGTGTTAGTGAGCACCTGTCAATCAATATGTATCTATTTTCCAAATAAAACTAGCCCTTTGTGGCTACACATCACCGTGGCAGCAAGAACAAAACAGACTTCACACAGGAAACCGAGTGCTGGAAACAACTGAAAATATGAGAAATTTCCCCAGGAGTACCAAAGCTGTATTTTTGTTTCCTCTCCCCCTCAATTTTCCTTTGCCCAGACACAAAGGAACGCGCCCGGGAGCCCGAGGCACCGGCCCTGAGCTCTGCTGACCGAGGGGCTCTGCAGTGTAAACACAGCAGCGTCTGACACAGCCTTAATGAACCCACGGCCTAATTAAGCCTTGACAAGCGGGACGGCTCCGTCTCAGGTGAGCCAGGGGAGGAAGGTGACTCACCAGCACATTACAAGGCTGCTGACTCCCAGTAAAACCCTCCCGGGAACCACCCCTGGGTTTCACCGTGCCCGTGTTTGTGTCCAAAGCAGCGAGTGTGACACAGAGCTGGCGCTGGCCCGGCTCGGAGTCCTGCTGACAGCAGCGGGGTCAGCCCATGGAACACGGAATTATCCACCCTGACACGCGGAAAGTGGTTATTAGGAAAAACAAATAAACGGCCGCTCGTTCCCTGCTGGAAGGAGGCAGCATTCAGAGGACATCGGGTTTCGGGGGTCAGGCTGGCTGTCTGCTCTGTACAGAGCCAGCACTCACACGGGAACGTTTAAAAATCAGACCCAAGGACCAGGCAGGACTAGCTGGAAAAGCTTTCCCCGGGCCCCCAGCCTCTTCCAGGGGAAGGCACATCCCAGCCATGGGCTCACCCGCTCCAGGACGGACCCTGCTCCCAGCGCTCACCCCGTGGGCACTTACGGGGCTCCAGGGGTCCCTGCGGGGAACAGGAGCCCCCAGCAGAACCCCCCCAGTGCTTTGGGACACAGGGTGACCCCCAGTCCTTTGGGACACACGGATTCCCTGGGGGCACAGGGGTCTTCCAGCAGATCCACACGTGCCTGAGGTGCTCAGAGGTTTCCATGAGGAACGGGGACATCCCGTGGGGAGCTGGGGCTCCTCACAGCACTTCTCCCCTTGAAGAGCACCGAGGCACCCCTCAACCGCCCCCCCAGCCCCCGCGGGGCACAGAAACCCCCTCATCACCCTCCGTGGGGCACACGGGTCCCTTCCAAACCTCTCCTGGCCCCCGTGGGGCTGAGAGATCTCCCGCAAAACCTTCAAAACGCGGAGGTGCCTCTCCATGCCTGTCCCCGGTTCGGCGGGACGCGGGAGCCCTGGGGTCCCTCCCGTGAGGGTGTCCGGACCGCGCTCCGCGGCCCCGGGGGTCACAGAGCTCCCCCCGCCCGCACCTGCTGTGCCGCCGGCCGCCGTCGTCCCTCAGCGCCGCCAGCTCCACCTCGGCGCGGCCCAGGAACTTGTCGGCTCCGGCCAGGGCTCGGTGCAGCACCGTGAGGCGCAGGGCGGCGGGCCGCGCCGGCAGCTCGAACGTGGCCTCCTCCCGCCACAGCGGC